AGCCTCACGCATGCTTGCTGCTCATTTTAGCCTAATTTCACTCTTTGGACATCTTAAATTAATGGAGGGAGAAGAAGTTGTGAGAAAGGCTCATGTGTGCTTTTGAAAGCACTTTTCAGGATGATAAAATTAAGGGTACAAGAGGTAGAAAGATGTCTGGCTGCCGTCATTTCAGGGAGGCTGGGCGACATCCCCAGACAAGCCCACAGGGCGGCAGAGCAATCGCCCTGCCACTACACAACTTTGACGCTGCGATGATGAAAATCCAGCATTCTTGGATATCACTATCTCTTCTCGAGTTTTGAGGGAAGTGACCTGAGAAATCGTTTTCTGAGGCAGCAGTTAATTTTTCCGCAGATCCCTTTGCGTAATACTTACAAGACTACCGCACTTGTGGGGAGTAGAGGTACTGCTTACTCAGCTGGGAAATTGCAAGTGTAGAATATTGGGGGGCGGTTTGTACAGATATTTAACACCTTCTGCTCTGTCAGGAAAATATTTTGAGCATTGATAAAGCAGTAGTAGAACATATCCTTTAAAATGCTAACAGCCTCACAGATTTCTGTACTTCTGATGTTAGGCACATATACTTGAGTGTATGCAGGAACTATCTTGTAGCTTTATGCATGAACCAGCGCTCTTGGTGTGTGCTTGAGTTTTTTATATTGATTTTTCAAATAACCAGGCTTAGGACAGAAGCCACACCATCTCGGGCTTCATTTCAGCAGCCCAGTTGCAGTGTGTATCTTAATGTTTTTAACCTGGGAGATACTGCTCTTAAGGATGTTAGAAGGATAGCTAAAGTCATTCATTCTGAGAATTAAAAAAAATTTTTTTTCCTGTTTTCAAACCAATAAAGAAGAACTTCTATAAGGGCTTCTTTTCATTTGTTCTGAGAGTCAAGCTGCTTAGCTCTTGGTAGGTTCTTCTTTATATCTTCCCTGAGCACATACAGAAGCCTCAGTTGTAACTTAGAGTCATCTGTGAAATTCAGGGGCCATGGTTATGTTGGGAATTTCACATTAATTAGTTAGTGTCTGTTAACATAAAGTCATTTTGAAGAGTTTCAAGCTGCTTTGTTAAGGGGATAAATTTAAAACCTATTCAGTGACTTTTACTTTTATGTCCCAGTGAAAAAAAGTTACCTTTTTACAGTTGTCAGCCTCCTTTACTGGCCCACTTAGATCACACATGACTCAGCCTCGCTGTCTTCAGGCTTCTGGAAGCAGTTTTTCTTGGGAGCCGTTAGAAAGCTGCAGAGGAAGGAAGGAAGAGAAAATGAGGGGAGAGGAAAAGAAGCAGGCTGCTGGTGGAAGAAGGGGTGGTGACCGAGGGAGGGCGGAGAGGAATTGGGGGTTGCGGGCAGCAGCCTGCGGCTGACCGAGCTGGCAGTGGGTGAGAACTGCAGGCCCTGGGTGGGCTCAGCCCACACTGGGAGCTGTGTGTGAAGCAGCGTGTTGGTCACTGTCTGCCTGGTAAGGAGCCCAGTTAAAAGTTACCAGGGACTTAAGAGCAGCAGAAAACCAGCCAACTTAGATGAGTCTAGCAGGTCTGCAGAAAACAATAAAGGACCCCACCCTGTTCCTCTCCTGAAGAACCTCTCATATTTTCCCACCCAGCTGCTTCTGACTGCAGAGGTGATGTGAAATGGGCATCCCAGGGGACTAGAGAACCAGGACTGGGGTTTCTTTGAAGTCTTTTTATCTTGCAAATCCATGCAAATTTTACATTGTGTTCCATAAATGGTCCGTGTTTCTTTTTAATAATAAAACAACATCTCACTTCCTCCTGCACATACCAATATCTCTTAGGCTCAGGAAGACACACTGTGTTTGCAAAGTGGCTTCAAGAGCACTCCCTAACCCTGCACACTCACTGACGCTCTGCACTGGGGTGCACAGTCCCGCGAGGGTTTGTGGGGGAGAATGGGCGTAGCATCGATCTTGATGACCAAGGCTACAGTGGTGATGGCAACTGGGGCTTTTGCTGAGTTTGAAAGGTGCATTTATGGATTGTGTTACTGTTAATTATACAAACCCACCTCAGCCGCCCTTTGCTCAGTTCTAACAAGGAGCTTCATTATGTTGTTGGTTTTTTTTGGTTTTTCTCCGGTACCGGGAACCGAACTCACAACCTTGCGCTTGCCAGGCAGGCACTTTTGCCACTGAGCTAAATCCCCAGCCCCAAGGAGCTTCATTATGAATAGAGACTTGGGGGTGAGGGTCCAGGGCTCCTTGGGACATGTTTGATCCCCAGAGCCATTTTCTCAGTGTTCCCATTTGTCTGGATCACATGGCCCTCTCCTCCCTGGACACATAAATACAGTATTCTCTCTCCCAAAGTCACCCTGCTCACATCCGTTCTTCGTAAACTTGCTTGGACATTTTAAATAATTCACGGAAAGTGCTAAGCACGGTTCCTTCTGTGAAGGTTGGCTGCTAGCTACGGTGGTAACTACGACTGTTGTCATTGTAAAGCGTGTGTACGTACTAAATGAGGCTTCTTGGTGGCACTGAGGTCATTCACTTTGGATCTTGAGTTGTGAAACCTTTATAAAACTAAGAAATACACATGACTTGCTGGCTGATTAAAGACAATGGAACACTGAAATTCTTGAGCAAAAAGATAAAATCATTAACAATGCTAGTGGGAAAACTGACCTTAGTATTACAGTGTGACCACAGCGTAGCATCTGTGGAGGGATACGTCAGGTGTAGAACCTTGTTTGTGCTGCATGGTATATGTGGGTTGGATGAACCCCATAGCTTGAGACTTTGGGATGGAGGTTGACTCTATGTATACATGCCAGATTAAGCAAGACATTTGAATGTTATCTCCTGGCCAGTTAGAAGCTATGTAAGAATTTTGAACAGGGAAATGAAGTCTGTTGCTTGGTTTAGACTGAGAAATTGTGCAAACCGTTCTGTTTGTTGGCAGGACTATGGTAGTTTTCCTTCTTTTCTAGTTTCTGAGAATATATACCCTTTCTCAGCTTTCTGTGCACACATTTCCAGGCCCTCTGGAGGGTGGAGGTGGGGAAGAGGGCTGTGAATCTGGATGAGGGGGCATGTGCACTTTGCAAGGGAGACCCCAGGAAGTTGTCCTTCTCAAGTGCCATGGCAGGGACTTATTAATTATCAGAAATCACAGGATGTACAGCTAAATGTAACCTAGGATGTAACACATCTATAGGGTAACACGGTAGAGTCTAGTGGATGAGATCAGGTGAATTTCTTAAAACTCAGCCCTACATCTTTGTCTTCCCTGTGTCTTCCCACCTGTCAAAGTCACATTGTCTTGCTGTACGTTAACTGTACTACTTGGATATATTTATGTAGGTTACTAAGTATAAACTATCCTGGAAGCAAATTGCTACATATTTTCTCACCAATCTTAAAAAAATTGTATTTTAAAAAGTAGACTCCTACGGTTTTATAGCTTTCACTTTGTGTGTGTGTGTGTGTGTGTGTGTGTGTGTGGTGCTGGGGATTGAACCTTGGACCTTGTATATGCTAGGCAAGTACTCTGCCTCTGAACTACGTCCTCAGCTCTGTTTATAGTTTTTTAAAAACAGCATATGCAAACATGTACTTACATACTTCAGTTGTATATGAAGGCATCATGTAAAATAGTTACGCAGTAGCATTCGGTCATATAGGTATGCTATAGCCTACATGGTTAAACCCCTCTTGCTGGATAGGTAGTTAGCAGCTTTTAAAACAAGTACCTGTTATATCAGTGTAGATGCTTCTAGAAAGATTGGAGTCTGTAGTTACCCAGACAATAGTTTTAATTAGTTAATATCTGTCTTCTTTTTACTAACTAGCTGAGGAAACCTAGCTGAGGTTATTGTGGAGCCCCGAGAAAGGTGTATGGAGAAAGGGCTGCCGAAATGGAGTAATTTCAGTATTTTACGAAGAGTGACTTATTTCTCTTTCTCCAGCCCACACAACCTTTGCTTGAAGCCTTAAAGCTGAAGGCATCTTAACTGCAGCTCTCAGTATGTGTAGACTAAGCATTGGTGGGAAGGGCTGGCACTTGAGTACCATGCCCACGTACTGCTTTCCAAGTTGTGGGCTCCCTGTAGTCAGATAACAAGATCTGTTTGCTTAGTTGAATGGAAGCGAAAGGGCAGATATGGGCAAGGCCTAGCGACTGATAGGATGCCCTTAGGAAAGGACAAGATGGCAAACATGGTTTAAGGGCTACAGGCCTCACAACTGGGGAGATGAATTGTTGCTGATTTGTGGAAAAACCTGAAAAATGACATCTAAAAACTCCTACTACATTTCAGGAACTTGTGCTGGAGAGCGATAGCGTAACAACAGATAATTTATAAATACACTATTCTGAAGATCCTTATTTTAGCCAGTAGTTTCAGTGGTGGCTGAGAACAGTATCTCTGGCTGCATTTCTCAATTACAAAATGTATAAATTAGTGTCTCACATGCTCCTTCTTTAGTCAAAAAATAATTGCTTCTGTAGGAGAGGGAAGCTGAGACGGAAAACTAGGTCTTCATGCTGCTGCTGTGTGACACTGAGAGGGAATTTCACTTCTCTGGTTTCTAACACATAAGTAAAAGAATGATTGATATTGGCTTAGATGTTTTCTCAAGTTTCTCTTTAACATAAAGAATTTTTATTTCTAAAATGTGTCTTTAGTGTTTGTGAGGCAGGATTGGCTGTACTGCCTCGAAAGAGAAAGCTTAAGCAAAATGCTGATCTTGTAAGTTCGTGTAACTTTTAAGAATAGTGTCTTGAAGGTGTCCCTCTATCAACTGAAGAACAAATGTCTCAGTTTAATATATGACTGCATCAGAAAAAAATGCAACCACAGTAGGTGACCAAAGGGATAAGTAACTTTCAGGAATTTTGAAAGCCCAGTAGTATTTAGTATCTGCTCTCTCAGCATTAACAAGGTCACCTTGCTAATACATGTTAATTTTGAAAGTTTAATTGACCTTTGGAATTTTAATATCAACCTTTTTTGGTATGTTTAGAGGTTGGAGCAATCACAGAAGAAACCGAAGCCTGTGATTGGTGGAGCTTGGGTGCTGTCCTCTTTGAACTTCTCACTGGCAAGGTAAGCCGCGACCTGGACATTTAATAAATGTGTCCAGCTGCCACCTTGACTTCCAGTCGAGAATGTTAGCTTTGCCTGTAGTTTTTGGGTCAGGGACTAAGTAAGAAAAGCTTTGATACAAAGAAAAAAGAAAAGAGAAATGCAGACTTATCAAGATTCTAGATTTTAAAAAAAGAGTAGTATTTGGTTGAATAAATCAGTGGTAAGATTCTGTTATGTCACAATGTTACATCGTGTGTTTTTTTCCTTTATTTTCTATGATTCAGCTTTAAGAGGGTCAGATCTGTAAGGTTTATCATAAGGGTGTGTTAGAATTTTCTAGATGGTTTTAACATCTTCTCTGAAGCCAAGAGGGCATTCTAAGTTTTAGAAAATCAATGTAGTTATTAAAGGTAACATTGTCTTTTTTCTCAAGACTAAATTTTTTCTGTTCTAGCTTAAGGACAGGATTTATACTCTCTCTGATCAATAACTTTTAAGTGTGATGTTTGATTTTAATAGACTTTAGTAGGCAGATTGCCTCCTGGGAAGAAAACAGAGGAAACGAACAGTTATATTTTTGCAAATGTCTGCTTTAAATATGTAAATACCGACCAAAGATTGTTGTGAAGTTCACAAATCACTTTACATATATTTAAACTATAAAGTGCTATATAAATGTTAAGTGTTATCACTAACAAATCCCAAACTTTGAAGGTGGTTTTTAAGAACATTAAAATGCTTCAGTGATTTCAAGCCCCTTTTTTGCTTTCATGTGTCATTGAAGCTTTTCTGTTAGGAGCCACTGATTTTGTAAGGAAGGGGAGAGGACAGTCACCTGTCATGTGACTGTGGGGATGGGCTGCCTTTGTCTCTGTTAGTTTTGTAGGTTCACGGCCCTAGGCCTCAACTGCGTAGGCGCCCTGCCTGGATTACCCCCCCTCTACTTAAGATGGGGCTTGACCTGTCTGTACTCACGGCTAACTCTGTGATACAGCGGAGTGTGACATTGCCTTGGATAAGAAATGTACCTGATTGATTATTTCAGACTTTGGTTGAGTGCCACCCAGCAGGAATAAACACTCACACCACCTTGAACATGCCAGAAAGTGTCTCGGAAGAGGCTCGCTCCCTCCTTCAACAGGTAACTTAACTGACCTTTATTGGCTAAGCGTTTCAGCCTGCAGCCTCAAAGCCTTAAAGAAATTAGTTGGGGCTGGGGATTTAGCTCAGCGGCAAAGCGTCTGCCTGGCAAGCGCGAGGTCGTGGGTTCGGTTCCCGGTACCAGAGAAAAAAAAGAAATTAGTGCTGGGCAAGAAAGACCCATTTATAATTATACATTCAGAATTAATGCTGCATATTTGTAGGCTTCTGCTACTGTTGAAGTTTTGGTGGGGGTCAGAAGATAGAGTTAAAACTTGTTGAGATTAAAATTGTTTTTTTCAGAAAATCAAAGTTCACATTTGTCAACCCCATATGGTTGTATAGCTATGAGATTTGAGTACTGCTGTTAGTTGTCTGGGACTGCTCTGCATTTGCGGTTGTCTTTTATAACTGTATGGAGATGCTGTTATCACTCTTTATTTTTTTGCTTAAACAACAGACACGTATTTCTCACCGCTTTCGTATTTATAAGTAGTAAAGGACTCTTTACGCTGCCGAGGAGAAAAGTATCGTCAGAAAATTTTGTCAAGTCGAATCCCTCACCCAGCCTCATCAGTTGATGAAACTTGCGCGTTGCTGTCAGTTCGTACAGGGTGGCTTTGAAGAAAGGGACTTGGTAATTAAGGTTCAGTACGAAAGGGACAGGCTTGGAGCTCTAGCAGTGCTTTACGATGATTCCCATGTTTAAAATACAGGGTTAGTAACCCTTATCCGGAACAATTGAGACCAGAGTGTGTTTCAGATTTTGGAGTTTTTCTAGTTTTGAAATATTTGCGTAGACTTTCCTGATTAAGCACCGCTATTCTGAACGTCCAAAATTTGAAATGCTCCAAAATCTGAAACTGTTTGATTATCATGTCGAGACTCAGTAATTTGAGTTCGGAGTTTAGGATTTCGGTGGGGATTAGGGGTGCTCTGCTGTACTCCTGGAGTGCTGAGAGTACCCGTGCTGTTACGGGTTCACAGAAGGCCAGCAAGAATCGTCAGGGCTGGGGCCTGTGCGTCTGTGAAAAACGTGATGGAAGCCGGGTGTAGTGGTGCACACTCACAATCGAAGCACTCAGATGACGGAGGCGACAGGATCCTTGTGAGTTCGAAGCCAGCATGAACTACGCGGAGAGACACTGTCTCAAGAAACAAGACAAAACAAACAAACAAAAAATACGGAGAAGTTTACCTGAAAAAGGTCAAGAGCTAAAATATTTAATGAAACAAAGCTTTTTTTTAAATTGGGAAAGACAAAAATTACAATACAGGGGAGGAGGGAAATATATATTAAGAAGAGAATTACGTTGGATTCTTTGCAAGAGCAATTTTGGTTCCATTCAGCAAATATTACATGCAAGGGACGGTGTTCTAAACTGCAAAGGTAAGAGTCCCAAATAGCTGTGCCACAAGGTGGAACTTCGTAAAGGAGGCGAAAGAGGTGTAGAAAATACGTTGTCAGGTTGACAGCAGTGCAGGGTCACAGTCAGTATAGTGATGCTACAGTGGTACTTCAGTTTATGAACATCGTTCTTGCCATGGACAAGAACTGAATCAAATTTGGTAGTTAGGTTCAGTGTTAACCTGAATTGTTGACCAAATTTGGTTTGGTTGTGGGTCCAGTTTGGTTTGCGACCAGAATCATGCAAGGAATTAAGTTCATGAACCGAGGTACCACTGTATTAGGAAGAGTTCTGTAGAGTGGATATTATTTTGCTGGATCTAAGACAGCATTTAGCAGGCAAGGTTGGATGTGGGAGCTTACGTGGAGTGAATAATTTGAACAAAGGCAAGGAAGGAAGTGGAAAGACCCCATGGGAACTCAAAAGCCTGGTTTATCTGGAGTGGAGGGATAAATAGAGGGTAATAGTGGTAGATGAGTGATGAAAGGTGAGTTGGGGTTTCTTACAGGGTTTCACACAACGGTGAAGTGATATAATTCACTGAAAATTTGAAATTTGGAGCTGTGCAGAAAAGTGAAAGGATCACAGTTAGCTTTAGGAAGATGAGTTTGCCCTGACTATGTGAAATGTAAAGAAACATAATCAGGTTAGGAAGACTGAAAGAAGAATATCAGAGCTCTTTGGATTCAGAGACGGTAAAGAAAAACATAAAACATTTAATTTTTACTGGGTAGGGGAAAGAACAACTATTCATTTGATTTCACCCTATTTGTGTGGCATAAAATAAATTCAAAGTAACTTTTTGAGTGAATAATTTAGAGGAGGCTAGCAAGTGCTACTTTATTTCTTTCCCCTTAAAACTAGTCATAGCATAGAATACTGAAAACAGAATTCCCTGGAACAATTTGCCAAGTTCTGCTTCTGACTTTATTACAAGTTACGCGGCGAAGAAGTCTCGGGGCTTGTGAGTCCTCACACCCTGATGCATGTAGCTGTACAGTAAATCAGCCTCTGTCATTGGCCTGCTGAGGAAGCTACCACTCATGCTGAGGAAACATCATCAGGAAAGGGAAGAGGGGTCCCTTGGCATGATTAGCAATTTGTCATTTTGACTTTCCTCTTCCACTACCTCACAGGTCATAGAGGTCATTTTTTAAAAATCTCAAAATGATTTATATGGAAATAATTATTCTGCTTTGGGGAAATTTTCTCCTCTTTGGTCTTTCAACTCCTTGCTTTGTTCTTAGGTTTTGTAATCTCCTGAACTCAGGGTTCAGCCATCTGCCCCTGGCAAGTGATTGATGCTAAAGTAAACAGTTACTTTTGAAATGCAGTTAAAAAAATCTTCCCTGCACATTTGTGCTTTACGCTGTACATTTAGTTTCATAGGACACAGGTGCTTTGTCAGGTGAAAGATGCTATGCAAGGAACAGACCTTCAAAACAAACTCCTGGGCCCTCCTCGCTCAGCTCTGCTGCCTGTTCTTCCCGAGCAGGGAGGTTGGCAATTGCTGGCTGGGATTCATGATCCCTTTTTGGCAAGGAGGGTTTGGGACAGGGTCTCATTATGTAGTCCAGGTTGGCCTCAAACTCATGGCGATCTTCCTGCCTCGGCCTCTCAAGTGCTGGGCTTACAGGCATGTGCCACCATGCCCAGCCTTGGGATTCATGATCTTGAATGTGTCACTGGCTGTTACTTTTTTTTTGAGCAATAGAATCTTGTGTGATCTCTCTTGAGGACTTTGATAGTATTTAAAATGGCATTAATATCATGGATGAAACAGACTTTTACCTATAGATTTGTACTTACAAATAAAGGAGGAGTCCATGAACTAAGTAAAGTGACCAGTCAAAGTACGAATTTCATGTTTGAAATAATGTTTTGGAAAGAGTTGAGTAGAAAAGCCAATTGAAATGGAAAGAAAGAGAGAAATGAAGAGAAAGAAAGAAAAAGGAGGAAGATAAAGAAAGAAAAGATGTATTTATTTCTTTAAATATTTATATGTATTCCTGAAATATGGGATTTATTAATTCTTAGCCTTATTTGATATGTTAGATTTATATTAAAATATCTGATGCCTTTCCCATTTCAATCCGTAGGCATGGACTGTCTGTGAGAAATGAGTTCAATGCATTTAGGATATTCCTATGATGTTTGTTTTATAATAACAGCTTTTTTGACACATCTTAGCAAGTTTTGATATAGAAGTTCTTTGAGCAATTAGCTTTAATAAACAGTACGCAGGGCATCGTGAAAGCTAGACATCATAATTTCAAGTGAAAAGGCTGTTAGCACAGCCCTTTGAAGGGTCTGCTTCACTCCCCCTGTGGATTAGGAATCAAAGTGAAGGAATAGATTCTTGGAGTTTGCTGCTCACAGATTGATGAGGTAGTGCAGTGTGAGGAAGGCATGGACTCTGGAGTCAGAATGCCTGAATTCAAATCCTTTCTCCGCTACTTGCTACCTGTATGATCTTAAACAAATTATTTAATTTCCTGGAGCCATTCTCTCTCTTTCCTCATCTGTAAAGAGAAACAATAGTAGCTATTTGTAGAATAATAAATGAATTAACCTATGCACATAGAACAATGCCTGGGCCATTGTAAGTGTTACCTAAGTATTTTATTATTATTGATAGGACATTGAAACTTCATGACGTAATTTGTGATGAAGCGAATATTTGAATTATAGATCTGCTAATGGAAGAGTGAAGCAACTGCTGGTATTATGGATAAAAAGATTTTAAAGTACTAGATTGGCACATAGCGGGCAATCCATTGTTGTTCATTCTACACATAACTGGATTAATGAATCGTGAATGCAAATAGAAATAAAAAAGAGAAAAATAGAGAGTTTGGTTGAATTTGGACAGTGGAACTTCCTATATGTGTAAGACCATTAATGTTGCAAAGAAACCACTTTAATGTTTCAGTTACACTTTGGGTGTGTTCTGTGGAAAAGTTACCTGCTTTAGCAGCAAATTTGAGGGGTTGTGGCTACATGAAGAAGCTGACGTTCCCCAGAGGTGTGTGAGTTGAATAGAATTGGTGAAGAAAGAAAAGAAAAAGAAAAGCAGCAGTCATTTCAGTGCTCTGGAAATTGGTCAAAGGGTGCAATAATCTGAAAAGTGTGTATGCATGGAAAAACAGCCCAACTTTAGGGGAGAACAGTGGGACTCTGGCATTCTTGACTCAGTCTGCTCCAGGAGCCCCCTCTCTGCGCTAGATCAGGTGCAAAGGGTCTGCCAGGGTGGGGCAGGCGTGGGGACCAAGCGTGAGGCTGCTCGTGTGGGCCTAGGGACAGGGCCAGGGCCCAGGGGGAGGGAAGCCTGGTGCACTTGGCTTCATGACCTCAGCGTGGAACGTGTTCTCCTATCCATAGCAGAGGGTGGGAGCGGGAGTGGCGGAAGAAGCTGAATATGACTGCAGTTCACTCACTGGTTGACCACAAAGGGCGCAGACACTGGGGACCTTGAGGAAGTTATACTTAAGAACACAAACTAAAGTGACCTTTCAAGAAAGAAGATGACATGAATATAAAGAAACCCTAGGAGAATTCATTGCTGCAGACCTGCATTACCAGCAGTACTACAGGAATTCTATCAGGCTGAAAGGAAACGACACCAATTAGTAACTCAAATCCAAAGGGGCAATGAATGCTGGAAATGGTAGCTGTGCATTAATAGAAAAGATTTTATATATATATGTATGGAGAGAGAGAGAGAGAGAGAGAGAGATACTTTCCAACTTCTTTAAAAGTCATAAAATTGGGTGTAGCAGTGATTATAAAACCATGCTTTGCAGCTTGTAAAACACTTAGATGCAATATGTAAATATAGTCAGCTTCTATGTCCATGAATTCAACCAATTATGGATCAAAACTATATAAAGAAAAATTGGTCTGTAGTGAACACTTACAGATTTCGCCCCTTGTCGCTACTGTCTAAACAATACAACCTCACAACTATTTACATAGTATTTAGGTATCATAAGTAATTTAGAGATGGTTTAAGGTTTATGAGTTGAAAGGTAAGTGTGTAGGTTATTCACAGATACCATACCATTTTATATAAGAGACTCGAATATCCTTGGGTTTTGGTACCTATGGTGGGTTGCACAGTCAATGCTATGTGGGCACTGAGGGAACACAACTGTAGACAAAAGAAGAGGGAAAGAAATGGGCTTTAATGGGGCGAAGATTCCGCCTTTTACTGAAATTAAGATAATAGTGTCCAGAAGTGGATTGTGATAAATGAATATACATATGTAATCCGTATAGCAACCTCTGAAAAAACAAAACTGAAACAAAAGCTCCTAGAAACAGAATAGTAAAAGAAAATTAGCAGAGAAACGAAATGGGACAGTAAAAAGTATTTAACACAGAAGAGTCAATAAAGGAAGACAAAAAAGACAGCAGATCTGCAAAGCAAAATGGCAAATGTAAGTCTGTAACGTCAGTAATTACAAAGTGAACGTCTAAACAAGCCAAACAAAAGGCAAATATTGTTAAAATGATTTTTAAATGTAAGATTCAGCTAGTTTTTGTGTACAAGAGATGTACTTTAAATTCAGAGACACAAGTAGGTTGAAAGAAAAAGGATAGAAAAAGATAAACCGTGCAAACAGTAACCATAGAGCTGGAGTGGCTGTATTAAACAGAAACAAAGTTGGCTCTAAAACAAGAGACTTTATAGTAGAGACCGACAGGTGTTACATAACAATAAAAGGATCAACACGTAGGAAACTGTAACAGTTACAGATGTATGTGTCCTTATGATCGCCTCAAAATTTATAAAGCAACACCTGGATTTAAAGGAAAAATAGACAGTTCAGTAATGATAGATAGAGGCATCAGTACTGCCTTCTTGATAACTGATAGAAAGTCACACTGATAGAGAAGACTCCAATAATACTATTAAACACCTGTAACTGATGTACACGGAAGACTCTACCAGTGACTGCAGAATGTTCATTAGAATAAGTCATCTCCAAGGTAGATCATGTGGTAGGTTACAGAATAAGTTTCAATATTTAAAAAGATTGCAATCATACATTGTACTCTGACCACAACAGAACTGTTAGAAATCAACACAGAGATCTGCTAAGTCCACAGATATTTGAAAATTAAACCACATACTTCTAAGGAATTTATGGATCAAAGAAGAATTTCTAAGAAGAGCTACAAGATGGTATTAATTGCACAGAAATGAAAACAATATAATTTATGGAATAGAGCAAAATCAGTTGCTGAGGAAAATTTATGTCTTTAACTATATGCCAGGAAAAAGGAAAAGTCTCAAAAACTTAAGCCTGCAGGAGAAACTATGGAAATAGAGCATAAAAAGCCACTAAGGGGCTGGGGATTTAGCTCAGCAGCACAGCGCCTGCCCAGCAAGCGCGAGGTGGTAAGTTCGATTCCCGGTACCAAAAAAAAAAAAAAAAAAGCCAGGAAAATCCTAAGCAAGCAGAAGAAAGGCAGCAGAAATCAGTAAGACAGAAAAGACAAACCAATGAAGTCACAAATTCTTTGAAAAGATCAGCAAAAGTAGGAAACATCCCTCAACTCCTAATTGTACTGAAAAGGCAAAGCACCTGGAACATCGAAAACAATTGTGAAAGGTGGAGTTGGAGGATTTTTACTAGTTAATTTACACACAGTGGCAATTAAGACAACAGTGTGTTTTTTAACAAGTGGTGCTGGGAAAGCAAATATTCATTCATGGGCTTAAAACAAGATTATCTAGACCCTTCATACTATAGGGAGAAAACAGTAATGCCAAGTGACTCACAGACCTGCACATAAAAGCTAGGGGTATAAAAACTGTAGAAGAAAACACAGAAGAAAAATTTCCTGACCTTGGCTTAAGCAAAGAATTAAGCATGACCCCAAATCATGACTCATGAAAGGAAATATAGATAAAGTAGACTTCATTAGAATTAAAAACTTGAGCACTTCAAAAGACAGCATTAAGACAATGAAAAGACAAGCCATAGACTGAGAGAAAATATTTGCAAGATCTGTGTTATTATTTAAGTTCAGAATGTACAAAGAACTCTGATAAGTGAATAAGACAAACAATTTAGTTTTAAAATGGGCAAAAGGTTATTTCACCAGTGATGCTATATGAATGGCTGGGGAGGGTATGAAAAGATGCTCAGTGTCAGTCGTGGTTAGGGATGCAAATTAAAAGCATAATAAGATATCACTAGTGTGCACTAAAAAGGGCTGTTATCAAAAGACCAAGTACTGAGGTGCTAGAGAAACTGGAACCTTTGCACACTCTTAATAGGAATGTAACATTCCTACAGCCAGTGGAGCAGTTTGGTAATTTCTTAAAAAGTTACACACAAACTTACCATGTGATCCAGCAGTTCCACTCCTAGGAATGTACTCCAAAGAAATGAAAAACTATGTCTGAATGTGAATAGCAGCACTATTCTTTGTAGTCCCAAACTGGAAAGTCCAGAGGTCCCTTAATTGGTGATGGGGTTAACCAGAAGTGGCCTACCCAAACAGTGGGGTACTAGTCAGAAAGGACAGTGTTGGAACCTGCTGGAGTGTGGATGAATCTGAAAAACATGCTGAGGGAAAAAAAGAGAGCTACAAAGACTATGTATTTTATGATTTAATTTACATGAAATGTTCAGAAAAGGCAAATTCATGGAGACAGAAAGCAGACCAGCGGTTGCCCAGGGTTGGGTTGGTAGTGGGGATTAACTGTGAAAGGTCACAAGGAGACTTTAGGGCCGTCAGAGTGTTTTGAAATTGGATTGTGATGATGCTTACACAACTCCAAATTTACTTTTAAAAAAAATCACCGAACTGTATATATTGATAATAAGTGAATTTTGTAGCATATAAATTTGAAGATGCATGACTCTCTCAAGTTATATTCTTCCAGCATGCCCAGGGGGTCCCACTATTAACAGTCTTGTTCATATGACAGTTTTTTAACGTGTGATTTCTATTTCTCAAGAAATCAAAACCTGTTTCATTTATTGGATCAAATTATTTCATTTGAGCCAGTAGTTCCAAAGAAGAAGATTTAGGGATACAGATTAGCTTGTTTCGACTTTAGGTAAAGTTTAGTCCAAAGCGTTGTAGTAGTAAGTTAGCTTTACTTTGCCTCCCAAATGTACGAATTATGAATTTAGTGCAGTCTTTAATGATGTCCTGTGGTTCCTTGGGGACAGGAAAATGATCTTCATGTACTGTATGAAGTTGAGGGAAATGAAGTAAATCACCCAAGGTCATCTTTCAAAACAGTTGAAAAACCATAAATTCAGTTAGATACACTCTCTACCCCACAACTAGAGTGATGGTAGACGCTGATGTCTTTCACCAAAACACAGTCAGCTGGCTATAAAGTCCATTTGTCATTGAGGTTGTGTTTAGAAGCTCTTTCCTTTGTTTTCTTTTGATTCACTAGTTGGATTCCGGTGACTCACTAAATCCTTCTTTTTTAGCTCTTGCAGTTCAACCCCCTGGAACGATTGGGTGCTGGAGTGGCCGGTGTTGAAGATATCAAATCCCACCCATTTTTCACTCCCGTGGATTGGGTAGAACTGATGAGATGAACACCATCGAGGGCTCTTCGCACACATTCTGATCTCTGTAACAGCAGCTCGGCCACACAGTCATTATGGAGCACCAAGCCTTTGGATCGAGGCCTGTAGAGAACCTAGGGGAGGAGCTAAAAGAGCTTTCATTTGCACTCACCGTCCGGACAAGATATTAGCTAATTGTGCCAGGAGCTGTTATATACATACCTTTACCAAGGTGTCACTTAATGTAATGGTTTGCACTGTGAACCCAGCTGAAACAGCAGTGTTCTTCCGGAAGTTCCTCCGACTCGGAGCTCTAGGTGTAGAACTGTTTCACTTGAAAGAAGGAACCTTACCTGGCAGCTGATTACCCTCTGCTAACCACGGATGGTTACCCAGTCAAATTATTTATGAATACTGCATGGAAAGTGCTTGATGAACAGTGTCATCTGTGGGGCTCAAAAAATGACAAAAAATACACACGTGGTGTCGGAAAGGAAACCCGCTCCGAGACCTGTATAACTGGGGGATTTTAAATGTGGCTCCGGATGATTTCTCTGCGGAGAAAACATTTTATGTTGCCGACGTGGAACTTTGTGGGTTGAGGGTGCTCTTTTAGGGATGGTTCATGTGAACACTTCATGCTCTTCAGCCTCGTCTTCCTTTCCCCACCTTTCTGGGTGTTGCACCCTCTGCTTACTGCCTTTTTCTTGCTCTTGTTAGCACATGTGCAACAGAAAGGGCAGGGAGTATTTATGTCACAAACTGTGTCACCGTAGTGAGGACTAAGGAATCATGACGTGAAATAAATGTGGTAAAAATGTGGATGTCTTCTTCATTTAATAGCTTATAGCTTTAAACATTTTTAAAACTGTTCCAAGAATTTGTTGTTGTTCCTTTTCAGAATATTATCAACTTTTTGCCACTGCTTCTTCTATTTAACTTCATTTTACTTTCTGGTAAATGAACCAAAAGGCTCCAAAGGATCTTATCTGAATGGAATCAGATGGCAGTCTTATTTTATTACTTCCAGCGATAAGCTTTTCACATTTGAGCTCCTCGGCTACTCGTCATTATGTGGGAAAAATGCAAGCATCCATGCATCTCCTGACATTTGTATTTGTTGTTTCTCTGTGTTGCCAAGATAACTCTTGTAGTCATGCACTGCTCATAAAAATTTACAAATGTTTAAAAAGTGTTTTCAGTTTTAAACTTTATTCAAGGAAAAATAAGACACGATTTCCAAGTTAGTGACCACACCACACCACTCAGAATAATGAGTTTCTTTCTCTCTCTCTCTCTTCTGTTCCCCATAACCGTCTTGTCTTTTTTTCTTTTTTGTGTGTGGTGCTGAGGATCAAACCCTGAGCCACATGCATGCTGGGCAGGAACTCTACCACTGACCTATATCCCCAGTCCTTGAAAATTTTCTCTTGTATTTTTGAAATGCACACGAGAGCCCACCCCTACTCCAAGAGCTTCTGTACAGATCCATCTGCCATCAGGCAGGTCCTCCCAGCAAGTTCAGTGGAAGCAGAAAATGCTTTAGTGAAACAAAGGAAATGTGCAAGCAGTTTTCCTTTCTCTATTATTCTACTCCCCTTTTTCCTTTTCGGTCCCCTTATAACCTGAACCCCAGCTGAAGGCCTGCAACAACACCAGGTTGGGGAGCGGGTCACCAGGATCATTGCTCAGTCCTGATGACATCACTCCCTGGATCTGGGTTCAGCTCGCCATCCCTGGCCTCATAACAGGAACTCCCGCAGGTGAGACACGAGAATGACATCCTGTAGGACTGGTAGGAAATCTGCAAGTCCCCCGAGCTGGCTGTCACAGCACTTCCTTCCAGAAGTGCCCTGTGACATGAAAGTAGGAGTGCACAGCCAAGGTGAGGATCCCTGCCCTAGCACGTGATCGGGGCCTTGGATTCAGAGGACAGTCGTGTCAACAGATGTTGCTATGTCAGATGACACAGCTCCCTGGCTTCGGTTTCCCCTTGTGTTTTCTCTCTGCACGTTTGACTGGAGTGAGTGCTTAGTGTAATATGTCCTTCAGAGTCAGGGTGGGCATGAATTATTTTAGTGATAAACACCAGGAGAAATGACTGTAGTGAAACCCAGGCTTTTTTTATTTGACTGTTTATATAAAATGGTGTGAATGATGCCGGCTTCTGGGTGTTTTTTAAGTATATATTTTATTTGATTGAGCAAGGGAATATGAGTCAAAATCCTAACTTCCTACTCAGTGCCATCTACTCTGATTTTTTTTATTATGGTAAAATATATAATAAATTTTGAACTTTTTAAATATATAGTTCAGTAGTGGCACTAAGCATGTTCACATTTTTGGGCAGTCATTACCACTTTGCATTTCCAGAGCTTTTTTGTGTCTCCCCACCTACTCTACTTCATATGAGTAGAACCACTCACGTCTTTTGCTTCCTAAGGTTTATCCATGCTGTAGCAGGTAACAGAATTCCTTCTGAAAGCTGAGCAGCACTCCATCGTATGCATATACCATATGCTGTTTAGTCAGTCGCCTGTCGGTGGACACTGGATTGTTTCTACCTTTCAGCCACTGTGAACCATGTTAAGAACACGGACGTCCGCCTGTCTGTGTGTCTGCTCCCTCATTCGTTTCTGTGTGTCTATATGAAATCACCACTGTGATTAAGGGTTATTTTGCTATGCTCTGTGGACGGGCTTCTTCAGGCAGGTTGTAGTACCATCGTGGTGCAGTGCCACTTACGATGTGCCATAGACATCTTCCATTGCTATTTCACAGGCGGGTAAGTGAAGCTTCCCAAGAACAACAGAGAAGGCCATCATTTCTGCAGCTTGCTTTAACTATGACAGGAGTTAATATCCTTTCCGACATAAATTTTTTGTTGGTTTATTTGTTATAATGAACTCTTTAATTTTTTAAAAAAATTTTGTTTTTAATTGAGAAATAGCGATTATGCATATTTATGGGTACAGTAGTGTGTTTTAGTACACACGCAGACTGAGGAATTACCAAGTCAGGGTAATTAGCATATCCATCATCGCAACTCCTCTCTGTGGTGAGAACATATTAAACCCTCTCTTGTTTGAATTCTTGAACTAGACGTTAACTGCAGTCACTGCTGCGCAGGAGAGTACCAGAGCCTGCTGCTGTTGTCTGAGCGACCCTTGGTCCTGTTCACCAGCCTCTCCCCTTGCCCTGTCCCTCTTCCTCTGTCTGGTTACTGCCATTTCTACTTCTATGAATTAACTGAACTCTTGATAATATACTTAAACCTGTCTTTTAAACAGCTACAATTCCTATTGTGTGTTGATTCTCAAGATTTCCTTATTTTACTTCACAGTGTGAACCCAGATTGAATTTTGCTTCCATGCAGTGAACCGAAGAGTAAGAACGTATGAGGTCATACTCTCATGCTGCAGATTAGGTGCTTCATTTGCCTTGGTTGAATTCCCTACCCACCAAGTTTGGAATCCAAACAGAAGGAAGTCTGACTCTAGCACTAAAAGGCTCGTTGCCTCCTGAGGGCCTCTTAACAGTATCTTCAAGAGACTCCCTTCAGGGTAACTTCATAGTGGAGGCCAAAGCGTAAGATCGGTCAGCTTTGTCCTTCGGAGGAGTTCATATAACCTCTGGCCCATCAAATGCTCTGGGTAATGGAGCCTGGTGTTTCAAGCTCTTTCTTTGGGGACTGGGAATATAATAGAAAGTCCTAGAGTGCTGTTGTGGGCATGGCTCTGTGGCTAACTAGCCTGCAACCTTAGTCCAGGAACACTCTTCTGTGTCTCTTTCATTACCAGTGGAATAATAGGCTGTGAGTTCTAAGCTCCACAAGTATATGGTGGATTTTCTGTTTTTCAGAGTGAACTGGTATGAGAAACCAGCACTGTAGAAGGCATGGTTAATGAAAATCTTAAACAGGTACTGAATTGTTTTCTTATCTTTTTTTAGTAATGCCAGAAACCTGGGTTTCTGTCTTTTACCCACTCAGGAGCATAGTCCTTGGTGGTTAGGCGGCTATTCGAATTAGAAACAGATAAAATATTGAGAGGTCATTCCTCCATCAGATCTGTGCTGGGAAAGGAGAGGTGAAGGTCTGGACAGAAGTCTGGTGAGGTGGAAGGAGGTTGGGGCAGCAGCCCTGCATGGGCACCTCTAGCCCTTCTCAGTGGCCGTGGTAGTATTCTGTCCCCAGCCACCCCATCCATCATCTGTTACATGTTTACGTGACTCAGTCATTTGGCAGGCATAATCACAGGGCCAAATGGATACTTTCTCTTCCTACTTCACACAGAACATTAACCCTACCAGTGCAAGTAATTTGGAATTTTGAGTATTTGATGTCTGTTCAGCTGATCTTAAGGATTTCACGTTAAGCCCTCATATTGAAGGGTTACCAAATGGCAGAAGCTGTGAAGTCTGCCTCTCTAAATAAAGTTGTAGACATAATAGCAGCAGGGAAATGTAAAGCAGAGTTGTCCAGGGCCTTGTGATGTGGCCTCATGTACTCTGTCAAGGACAAGGAATAGGCAAGCAGACAACAGCCTGTGTTTGGGTGGGATTTACCATCCTGGTGCTATGTAAGGAGGCAGAATAGCCTTGCCTTTTTGGTCTCTGACATGTGACTTCTTCCCTGGACCTTCGTGTCTCATCTCAGGGAGGCATGGAGGCAGAGACAGTTTGTGAAGGTGTGAGTGAGACAGTAGTCCTAGTGCGGTGGGCTAGGATAGCCTGGGAGAGAGCTTGCCAGGTGTCTTGACCCAGGTGTCCAGAGCAAGAGGCAGCCTTCTTTGCTGAGCTGGATCCAAAGTGCAGTGCCTTGGGGCTGGGGATTTAGCTCAGCGGCAAAGCGCCTGCCTGGCAAGCGCAAGGTCGTGAGTTTGGTTCCCGGTACCAGAGAAAAACCAAACCAAACCAAACCAAACAAAACAAAACAAACAAAGTGCAATGCCTTGCTCTTCTCTAGGGAAGAGTCAGGCACTGGAACTGTTGCTGCTGTCCTAGGAAAGGCAGTGACTGGCCTTCTCTGGAAAGGAGGAAGTGACATGAGACGTAGTCAGTTCTCTGTCTGCATCCTTGCTGAAGGTAGCGGACTTGGCCAGGAGTGAAGGAAGAGGGCAGTGTCTGAAGAGGGCTGTGGTGCAGGACACCACTTAGTGAATGTGCTAAGGGAGAATGACAAGTGGGCCAGCTTGGGGGCACAGTGAGAATCGCTGGCATCCTGTTTTGGAAAACCTCAAAATTTCATATCAAATAGTTAACTTTGCTAGTGTTAGGGCTACGCAAGGCAGAAGTGCGTGCACCCTACCAAAAGCAGCCCATTTGAAAGGAACTGGAAGGAAGTAGATCATGCTTCAGGACCCAGTAATGACCACAGTGGAATGCTACCTTGATCACTCAGGAGATGTATATAAAGTGACTCAGCTGAGACAGCAGACAAGGGAGAAAGGAAGTCTAATGTTGGCAGAACATTTGGAATACATTATATAACACTCCAGTTCTTAGGATTGTTCTAGAAAGAAGATGTGTGAGGTATTTGAAGAACCTGCTTTTAGCAAAAAGATTCTAAGAAAGCTTCTTTAAAATCGAACTCTTCCCCTGACTGTCAGCTCCTTCTTCTTTCTCACTGCTTCTTCCTCCTCCCTTCATCTCCTGTTCATCTGCCTCTCTCCCCCTGTGACGGGCTTCTTTGCTCACAGATCAAAGGCATGGTCCCTGCCTTCACGGACCTCATAAAACCCCGGGAGAAGGAAGCGGGGCAGAAACAAGTAGGGCAGAGTGTGGGGGCATTGTAAGGTCCGGTCTAAGAGTGGTGAGCACA